AGAGACAATAACAAAATCAGAATGCTGTCCAGTAAGTAAAGACACTCCTAGCAGCTGTGTTTATTTATCATGGGCATCAGGTCTTTTTCCTGGACAAGACATCCCCAGCCAGGCTATCTGTGCCATTTGGAGGCTGCAGTGTGTGAGAATTTTGGCATTTGAAAGGTTCACGGAAAAAAACTGCCTTATACATAACTTAAAAAAAGTAAAACAAAATCAGAATGCTGTCCAGTAAGTAAAGACACTCCTAGCAGCTGTGTTTATTTATCATGGGCATCAGGTCTTTTTCCTGGACAAGACATCCCCAGCCAGGCTATCTGTGCCATTTGGAGGCTGCAGTGTGTGAGAATTTTGGCATTTGAAAGGTTCACGGAAAAAAACTGCCTTATACATAACTTAAAAAAAGTAATAATTAGAAAAGTTGTTAGAGTGTGCAGGAATAGCAATAGGAGAATCACATCAAGCTCTGAAATAAAATGGATGGAAGTCAGAGTTTTTAATCGAATGGCTGATGAAGGACTGAAACTCAGTTTTAAAGAGGACTCTGCTGGTTCATCTAGTCACTCAGTCTATCATGCTGGAAAGTTTGGGTCTCTATACCTGCCTGGTATTGGAAAAGGATGGTATTGTATGTGCATTAATTAATGCAGCTTGTTTCTTTTTGCACTTGTCTTACTCCTGAGGACTTTGACTGGAGGATTTCAGTCAGTGTAGAGTGAGTATAAGCTGGCACAGGCCCAGAATGTATTGGGATATTAGATTAGAATAGTATTTACCTTTTATAGAATATATAGAACTACTGAAGAAAGTGAGCAAACAAGCAGTTTTATTCCAGTGACAAGTAGGATGTAGGTGCTGGGAAAAGAGCTTCCAATGCTAGAATTAAATAGGGCATTGCCCCAAGGGAGGAAGAGGAGCAGGGAGGTGATTGCAGGGAGAGGAAGGCAGGGATTTCCTTCAGAATAAGGTGAAGACTTCCATGAATCTGGGAGAGCTGGGGTAGGCTCAGCCTACCAACAAAAACTTGCCCCTTTAACTTTCTATGATCCATTTATCTTCTTTTTCTTTCATCCAAATTCACTGTAAAGCATCCTTGGGCACATTGCTTGGTTTTCAAGACAGGAGAACCATCCTGCCTTTCCTAGTTGCTTCCACATTTAAATAGTTAAATTCACTGTAGAAGCAATCTAAAAATAAGTGAGGAGGAAAAAGTCATGGCTAACAATGACACCTTGAGTTGGAGCAGAGTAGGACTGGACTTTATTCCTTGGGTTGACCATCTGCACTCAGTTTTATTTTGTTTTGTTTCTTCAAATGAACTCTCAAAAACTGATAGAGTTCTGCAGAGCTTGATGCTGAAAGGCAGGTCAAGCCATGCATGAGGCTTGGTAAAATAAATGCTCTTATCCTTAAAACTCGAATATTTATCTCATTCTGTCTGTCACTTCACTTGCAAGGTCTCTAGAAAAGGTCTCTTTATGTGAACATTCAGGTGAATTGAATTTATGCCACCTTGTAATCTCTAAATGAACATGTCAAAGGCCTTACAGTGTCTCAGAAATGATTCAGAGAGTGGTCTTTTTTTACTAATATATTATCTTTTGACTTGGAATTAAATCACATCTGTTGTTTAATCCTGGTATTCTGATGAGCTGGAGTCATGAGCACTGATACTGGTCTGAAGTCTCAGCTTCAAGATGTGCAAATGAAAATTTATTGGAATTTTGAGCACTGAAGTCTTGTGCTTTAAAGAAAAATAGTTGTGTTTTTCTTCAAATGATTCATTTTAAAGAAAATGGTAGAATATCAGAAAAAGAAAAGATTACTCATATATTGGGCATGTTTTCCTGAATTCTTTTCAAATCAATTCCATGCATGGAAGCAAAGAAAAACAGACATTAAAAATAAAAATGAGGATAAAACAAACTCAGTAGCTATAAAAATTAATGAAGTCTTGGTAATACCATGGCAAAGTAAACTCAAACAAGCCTGTGCCTTTTGAAAGACTGCTTTGATATTGATTTATCTAAAGAGACAGCCAAATTCAGCCCATAATGTAATTAAAATGCAATATCATATAATGACTCAGAAGATAGATTTGAGAGTCTTTCGCCTTCTTTTCCTTCCTCCCTCTGCCCCGAATAAAAAGGTGAGAGAAGTTAATTGAAACTAGAAATCTCTTATGATAAATGAAAATACAAAGGGAGTCAACTTTTCAAATGTATTGTCAGTATCAACTAAACTGATACTTGTCAGAGTCTGGAGTCAGATCATTTCTGGGATAGGGGATTGGAGAGTGCAGGCAACTCAATAAGTGTCTTACTTCCCAGGCAGGGAAGATGCTTTCTGTATGTGTCTGTGTAGAAGCAACTGAGAGCTCTACTCAATTTTTTTGGAAGCAGATGGAGAAAATTCAAAGGTCTGGAACTTGCATCTATAATCCAGAGGTTGCAGTGCCCCTGCAGGGGATGGAGGGATTGCCCTGTGCTTGAGTTTTAATCACCTGCCTCTGTCCAGCACCTGCCTCAATTGCAGCATGAGCTGTTTAGATTTCCTTCTTAGATGTCTTTCTCTTCAATCTGGTGTAAAACATCTCCCTGGCCATAAACGTGGGGGATTAGATTATGGTTTGTTGCTCCAGCATTGATGAAAATCAGCATTGAATCTAGTTTTAAAGCACCTGCTTACTACTGAGCATAGTCTCAATTGGCCTGCTAAATATGGCCCATTTAGATAAAACTTGAAGTGCCTTGTTGAACACGGGATTAACTTTTTTGCTTTTGGGAGATAAGACCCTGAAAAATCACTGCATTTTTTTGTGCATCCTGGAAAACTAAGGTCAGCAATGAACTCCATAGGGCTGTGTGTTGGTCAGGGCAAAGTTACAGCCTCGCTTTTCTTTTTGCCTTTGTTTCTTTTTTTCCTCTTAGTTGCTAGACCAGTTGATGGGAAGCTTTGCCAGGGTCCTGCACCCTCCACCTCTGAGGTGTGTCACCTGCCATGCCCAGCTGAGTGTGTGGTGTCCTCCTGGTCGGCGTGGGGTCCCTGTCTGCACGAGAACTGCCAGCACCGCCACGGAGGACGAGGTGAGAACTGCCCTTGTGTGTTGCTTTGTGCAGCACTGGGGGAGCTACAGCAGGTAATGGAATATTACAATAACATTGCAAAACCAGTGGTGTCAAATTCTACATCGGGAGCTTAATGTATTTTTTTTTTCCTGAATTAATCTAACGTGGGATGAAGCTTTTAGATGTGTGTAGTGGAACATGACCTTTAAAAGCTTTTTGCAGTTGTTCGTTGGAGAAATAAAAAAGAGGAAAAGATAAGATTTTTCAACCTGATTCAGATCCTTTTATCCTGCACTGAACTTGTAAAAAAGGAGGGTTTCTTAGGCTAGCAGCTGCAGACTACCCTAGTGCCAGGCTGTCCCTCTCTGATCCCCCTTGGAAGTCTTGCTGCGTTCCTGGGTGAGACTGGAATGTGTTGGGACTGAGGTGCATCCCACAGGCCTGAAATCTGGAGTTAGGCTGACCCAAGAGGTTGTTCTCATTGTTCTGGTTTGGTTTAAATTCCTGGAAGAAGAGTATACAAGTATAATTTAACTTCCACTGGATCTTAATTGACTGCTGTACTTATTTGTTGGTGCAACACATCAAGATTCCTTGCAGAGCCTTTTCTAAGGCTCTGAGGTGGAAAGATGACTCTTGGAGTTCATGTCAGGGAATGGATATTATTGTTTGGCAATTACACTTCTCTGGAAACTGCATGAGTTTGTGAAGTGATTTGAGCTGGTTAGAAGTTTTCAAACTGAATAAAAGAAATAATGAAAAAATATGTTTAAATATAAATATTTGCAAAAGCATTTCATGTTTAAATTGTTTTGAATAATTTCTTTTTGCTCATTAGAGAACTGTGGAAGTTTGGTCTGTTATATTCTCTGGAATGTTTTATTTTTGATTTTCTTTTCTGTTTCATAGCCAAAGCACTTCCACATGGCCTCTAGTAATGCTGTGTGTTTGCCCCTGCTCTGAGGCTGTCAGAAGAAAACCCACCATGTGTTTGACTGCCTTTCTCTCAAAATTCTGTGTCATTTACATAACAGAACACGGTGAAAGATACTTGTGCATTAGTTCTGCATTTTATACAGCAACCTGACTTTTGGTTTTATTCAGAAGGAGGTAGATTATGTAATCAATTCTATGATTATTTCTGTAACCTTTTTCTTCCACTTTACATTTGAATCTTCCAGTTTAATAGGATGTCATTTCAAAGAGGTCTGATATGCATTATGTATCAGAAAACCTTGCACCTTCATAAAGCAGAATACTAATTTCTTAGTAAACTGCTCTGCTGTGTCTCAAAACAAGTCTTTTCGTTAGTGGATTCCCAGGCAGAATATAGATGTCCTTTATATCTTCAGTTCCTTAACTATTCCTCTCTTTTTATCTTAATGTTATTGCATTAATATATGCATCACTGGTAAATGTCTGGATTTTGACATGTGTGTTTCTAGCTAACGCTGATGAAAGGGAAAAAGAAATGTGAAACATGTGGGTTGCTGGAATTCTTTACTCACTGTCAGATTGTGCATCCCTAGGCTGTGGGCACATACAGCCTAGTGCTGTCCCAGTCAATCCAGTCTGTAAATGCTGTACTCTTGTTTGTCTTTATATCCCCCAGTTCCACATGCCCTATATAGTCCTCTTGCTACTAGATTATTGCATAAATATTTTTGCTGCTTGCCAGTTAATTCCGTTCTGCCTTTTCCAGGCTTTAGGATGAGACACAGACAAGTGATTGTGGATCCTGTGGGCACCCAGGCAGGTTGTCCTCACTTGGTTGAATCTATTCCTTGTGAAGACCCAGTGTGTTACGAGTGGAATGTGTCAGAAGGAATGTGTGTGCCTGACCATGGAGAATGTGGCCCCGGGCGCCGCATCCTGAAAGCTGTCTGCAAGAGCCAGAAAGGTAAGTGGTGGTGTGGGCCTAAAAGCCCTGTGGATTTTTGTGCCTCCTCCTAACATGACATTCTGCTGCAGAGCATTTGTGAATATTTACAATAGCTCCTTACTGAGTTTTTATGCCACTTTCAGATTTTTGAGTTGACTGTGTTGCTCATGAGAACCTAGTGCTGATAGGACCTGGGATTTTGCTTGGAGCCTTCTCTTCTATCACCAGTATAGAATCACAGAATATACGGAGTTGGAAGGGACCTTTGAGGATCATGTAGTCCAACTCCTGTCCCTGCACAGGACAGCCCTGAGAATCACACTCTGTGCCTGAGAGCATTGTCCAAACTCCTCTTGAGCTCTGTCTGGCTTAGGGCTGTGACAGCTTCCCTGGGGAGCTGTTCCAGTGCCCAAACACCCTCTTGGGGAAGAACCATTTTCCAATATCCAGCCTAAATCTCCCCTGGCACTTCAGACCATTCCCTCAGGTTCTGTCACTGGTTGCCAGAGAGAAGAGGTCAGTGCCTGCCCCTCCACTTCCCCCCATGAGGAAGTTGTATAAAATGATGAGATCTCCCCTCAGTCTCCTCTTCTCCAGGCTGAGCAGACCAAGTGACCTCAGCCACTCCTCACATGGCTTCCCCTCCAAGGCCCTTTACCACCTTCATTGTACAGGTCACGTGCTGTTATTGCTGGCATTATTGCCACAGAAGTGGGATACCAATGGCCTGGTTCTCCCTAGAATCCTTCTTGCACATCATCTGCTAAAGTAGAGCTGTCACTGAGGTCAGCAGCACTGTGGGCATTCAGAACATTAACCCAGGCTCTGGCATTTCTGCTATCCTCAGTTTTTACTGCATGGTCTGAATGTTTAGCTTGTTGCAGTAACCCTGTTACAGTCATGAGAAGGGATGCTTGGTTGTGCTGCCAAAATTAATACAAGACTAAGATGTAAATGAAATGATTGTACCAAGTAATCCTTCACTTGGCAGCAGTTTGAGACCTACAGAGTGTTCAGTGTACATGTTGTTAATAATGAATAAGTACATTTTTATATGACGTTTACAAACAACCAGCAAGATCTTATTTCTTGTGTATGGTTTGAGCCTCAGCCAAAAGTTTCATTTCTTGATAAGGTCAGCGTTGTCAGATCTTTAGATTCAATTACATGGAGCACAATTTTGCAGTCCTTAGTCACAGTGAGACTGTGCTATCATCTCAAAAGTGGCAAAATTGTGCAACTTTAGAGCCTGACATTATATCTGAAATGGAGAATTCTTCTTTTACATGGTGCTGAGACTGATCACAGGAAACAATTTCAGGTTGATAACGAGAGGTTAATTGGCAAGAGGTTAAAATGGTGTGTCAGTTACAAGGCATTAGAACCTGACAGAAAGAAGTGATGTCTGCTTTGTCTGAAGAGCTGATTCTGCTGAAATAAATTTAAATCTGGGTGCTTTTCTTGTACATTTGTGAAAAAATGTTCAGCTGTTATAAAATGACACAGCTAGAATATAGTGGAGAGCAAAGAGCTGACTCTGAATTTTGTCTGAGTGGTCTCTACTGATGTGTGATCATAACTCTAAGTCTAGGCCTGCAGTGATGTGTGCAGATGGAGGGTGGTATTGCTAAGGAGCACTGTGTACTTCCCACTGTTAAAACTGTGCCAACATCCACTTCTATGGACCAATGTGTGACTGGGAAGAAAACCATAATCCATGGCAGATAGGCACAGAGAACAGTTTGAACAGGGATCTATGATCCTTCAGTAGCCTCTTCTTCACTCAGTTCTTCAACAAGGTCTCACAATACTCTTTTCATTTCAATTACTCTGTGCACGTTGTCTTTACAAAAAAAAATACGTCAGGACATTCTTCCCATCCCACCACCCCGAGGCAAACATTGTCCCTAGACGTGATTGGTGTCTGGTTATAACTGAGAAGGTTTCACAAGGAAATATCCAGATCACTAGTCAAGTGAGAAGCATTGCTTAATACTGCTTTGAAGCCCTTCTGAATTTTCAGGATAAGTCTGGAAGAATCCTTAAAGTAGAACTTGGAAAAACTATAAAATTATTTCTTCTCTCAATCAAGTAACGTTAGTTGATTCGCTCGTAACCTTATTTCCTTTGGTAATGTTCTCTTAGCTAGATTTCCTTTGCGAAAAGTAGTCTTTTTTTGGCTGAAAGTTGGAGTAAGTGTCAGACTTGCATAATGTGTTTTACCTGGAATAGCTGGTTAGCTGGGAGTAGGAGGCCAGGAGGGAGTCGTGTGAAACTGAGATGTATCAATTACAGGTAAAATAGCACAAGGCCTGTGCTCATGCTTAGCATTGTACACGTGTTCAATATTCTGTGCAAGTAACAGCCCTGCTGAAAGCATTTAGGGTAGCTGCATTATGTGCTGGTATTTTCATTTACTTAAGCATCTTTTGTAGAATTGAACTCTGTCTCTTAAAATCCAGTCTTTTATCCAGTTATTCTGCCATTCGTGCCTGGCATTGTTGCTCAGTATTCCCACTGAATGCTGAAAGGGATTTAAAAAAATTGCATTTTTTATGTTAATGTCAAATGTTAAATGACAAAATCCAGTGTATCATCATCTTGACAACAGTTCATTTGGACCTGGAGTATGTTGATTTGGATGCACTGGGTCTTCTCTGTATCTCTGCCTGCAAGATACCTTTTTTTTAAATTTCATATAAATGCCAGACTTCTTGGCATGATGCTTTCCTCTTCTTGCTGCATTGTGTTGATTCACCTCTCTTTAGAAGAGGCTGATCTCTGTGCTGTTTCTGTCAACCATGCTGCAGGAGAGCTTGGCATCACAGCTTCTTGCCCTTGCCCACCTTCTCCCCTCCCTCTATCCATAATGTGGCTGAACATGTGTCCTTCACCAGCCTGTGCTCTTCTGGGTAATGCTGGGCTGTTGTGTGCTGCTCTCTATGCCTCAGAGACATGAGACCTTTCTCCTGAGGACACTTTTTACTTGCTAGAAATGAGTTTTAATTACACTGACTGCAGCAGAAGGGAACTGGCTGTGTTTTTTGGTTCTCTCTCCCATGGCTGAGGATTTGCTGCTGTGGCTAACTAACCTCTATCTCCAACTGAAACCTCCTCTTTGGAGCTGCTGTGGTGTCCTTTCTTTCCATGCTAAAAAAAGCTATCCTTTCTGTTGAGAAGACTTTGTGGTGCTGACCCAGGTAACAAACTGCTGCTGGCCTGAGCAACTCAGGAGCAAGTCACAGGTGAGTCTGTCTCTGATTTGCAGGGTTTCTCTGAAGACTTCCCTGTCAAGGTAATATCTTGTTATAAGGACTTGTATGGATTTCAGTGATGTAGCACTGAAGTCAGTCTAGATGTACAAAAACTTGTTTCTCGAATAGGTTAATGCAGGGGGTCCATAATGGAGAGGCATTTATAGGGCACATACTACATACAGCAGTTTTTCGTGGAGTAGCTGGAGTCTGTAATTTGTGATTTGCAGCACTTAACCCAGATGAGGAGGAATGAGAACATCATAATATTCTCATTACTTCATCATTGCTGAGTGTCTGCTCCCACCTAGTACTGTCTCTAGTCTCTGCTAGTAAGTTACTGCACATGAATATGACACATATGAGATACTCTTAGTGTCTGGTCCTTATCCCTCAAGTGTTCCTCTTCTGTACCAACAAAATACAGTAGTGTAATCAATCTAATGACATTAAATAATGTGTAGAAATGCAGTGAAATAATGCATAGAATGGAAAAATACCTCTAATGCATACTTCTTCCAAACTAAATTTTTCAGCAAAGTGTTTTTTATTTAGCTAGTGAAGGGTAAAGGATATTTTTGGCGAAGTCTGTGAAGCCGAAAGAGTAGTATAGGAAAATTGATGATTATACTGAAAATTGGATTGCGTGTCATTGGGCACATGGATCTATAATTCAGATCAAAGAATTTATTAGAAAACTTTTCTCATATTCACAGACAACTCAAGAATTATGTGATGTTTTTCATGGATTTGGTGTTTTCAGTTGTTCAACAAGGAATTGAATAATCTCAAGGAATTGAGTTATCAGCAATGAATTGAGTAATGTTTGTAATGTATTCTTGATCAGATAGTTGCAAGTATTTGACGTTTGATTTTGGGCAGTCTTGATTAGAACCGACAAACATTGCTCTGCGTTGACCAGATGAAAATAACTCTGAAAATTTTCCGGTTCATTTGTTGCTCCTTAAGTGTTGCTGTTCAGTAGATGAACAAAACACAAACATGATCAAAACTTCCATTTTATATTGCATTTGTGCAGTAGCCAAAATTAATTGTATTTCATTTTTTGAAGACAATGAGCAAAATCATCTTTTGTGTACTATGTTTCTTCTGTCTTTGTGAGAGCTGCAAGCACCTTGAATATGATGAGTCAAGGGGAATTCTGTGTCGTAGCAGTGTGCAGAACACTGCAGATAATGTTAAACAGCAGGACTTGGCTCAGGGTCAGCAGGTAGAACCTCTGGCCAGAGAGGAGGTGTTGTGCCTTCATAGGTTATTTCATGGTTATTTGATTTAGGTGCTAAGAAATACATATCAACATGCATTTTAACATTATAAATGTTGTCGGGTTCATTCTGATGGAGAAATTTGGGCACCCTTTTTATTGTTGTTTTCCATATTTATTTTAGGCATCATTAATAATAGACAATCAGACTGAAACCAGACAAATGTTGAAAGAAATGAGGATTTTTAGGAGTGCCTGTGAACAGAGTAATCATTATGGTAAGGAGTACCACCTAACAGCATATGCAATGGGAACTGGAACAATAAATTTGTAAAGTAACAAGAATGACTCATAAAAGTAACAATTCATTTTCCAGGCATTTTGTAAATGTTTCTGACAATACCCTAAACAAATTCTCACCTATTAGCAGTGCTCTTGAATAGATTGTGAAGTGTTATTATTCAGAATCATACCCACAAGTCGTCAGTCTATTTTGTTGTAATTCCCATGTCATAATTTATTAATTTGCTTTTGCTTAT